TGGATTAACTCTGAGATTCCACGCTGAGTACATGGCATTTGCTTTGTTTACAAGGGAATTTAGAGATTAACTAATATTGTCTCCATCGTTCCCAGAGACATAGATTATCCTATCGTCAGCATATGCAATAGAATGTGTTCCATTGTCTTTATTCAGTTTAAAGGCATTCATCATGTGCGCAGTAAATAAAGAGAATAGACAGGGAGAATTGATTCTTCCCTGCTGGAGGCCCAGCGAAAAGTGATACCTCGGGCAATACATCACCCCGAGGAACCTCAATTTGTCTCCTACCCTCACCCTAATCTATCGACGTCGTGCGGAGAATTCATGTTTTAATCGTGCATTTGCACTGGCCATAATTTCTAATTTAATGGTCCCAAAGACTTGGGACTTGCGCCTCGCAATCAGTGAACTCTTCCGCATTCAACGGTGGCGGGGCCAACATGATCCGATGCTCCCTCAATGCTACAGCCTGAGTTTTTTATGTGATGACCTTGCGCTACAGTAACATCGGTGAGGTGTTGGGGGTCCACACGTAAAGGCCTGAGTTGCCTGCTGGCGTATGACTATCGTCTCCCGCGTGCTTGTTGGTATGAGTCTCTACAGACTCGGTGTGTGCGTGCTCGTCGGTATGCCAACTCGTCATTTGCCATAGTGCCGACTTCGTAGCTCTCCCCGATGCTCCGCTCCACTCCCCTCGTCACAAAGCTGACGCGTAACCCGCGATGAGCGCAACAGCGTTAGAATTGAGCGATAAAATGAACAAAAATAAAATCAATACAACACCTAATTGTGAAAATGTGGCCTCGGGTGATCCGACTTATCGCTGGGGTAATTTCCTAATTTCTCCCCCCCCCCCTTTTAATCCGCGGTCAGTTCAGGCGAAAAACAGTACATGATTTCTATTAGGTTACAATATATATAATAATTAAATATCATAATTTTAAAGATATAGATATAATATATCAAATGAAATATAGAAAACAAAAAAATTTCTTACGAATGTAAAAATTACGTGTGATTGAGAGCCTCAGACAATTGATGAGTTTTTCAATTGCTCTCAATAAGTTCAAATTAACTTTAAAAATAGTACTATTCATCACTAATTATCATTACCTATAAAAAAATATAAAAAATAAATCCGTCTAAATTTCAAATCCTAAGGAATTATATTTTACCAAATCGATAATAACACACTTATATTTATATAATATGGCATTTGAATTCACAATCAATTTCTCTTCAATATAATTCTGATAAAATATTTATTGGCCTGAGTGAGTGAAACACTATATACATATAGGATATCTGAAATATAAAATTAATAATTCAGTAAATGGTAAGTTAGGAAACCCCTTGAAAATCGAGATTGCGGAAATTAGACTACAGAATTGACAATTGTACATAACTTTGAAAATGTTGGAAAATTGTACAAACGGGGGAAAGTGGTATAAAACCCAATTGTCATTGAAAAAAAAAATTACGGCGAATCAAAACAATTTCCCATCACTAGCAAAATCTCACTGGGGTCGACAGTAACTACTGTCGGTGTCAAAAGTAGAGACCACTCGAAATAAACGTCTGTAACTCGACGAAAATAAAACGTAAAAATATGAGACCAATTGCACTATGTAATATAAGTATTTCACTTGCCCAATGCGGAGTTTCAAGTTTTCAATTTGATTAGTTAATTTATAATCGCTGTGAGAAGCCGAAACCCCCGCCCCCCCGCCAATTTTCAGGGTCGGTAAAAGTCGGCAAAATTTGCACCGCTACCGAACATACGAAAATTTTTTTTTTAATTCGTCAATTTTTCCAGAGATTCGTTGAACGGCTGGGAAGCCGACGAGAGAAGAAAAAAATCGATGTTATGATAATTATTTATTTAATTAATAGAAATGTCGACTGCGGCTATCTCGTTGTAGAATTGCCGAACCGACCTGGAAAAAAATGCATTCTGAATTCAATGTAAAACACATTCGGTCAATATTTTTCTGATGAACAATCTCTTTCATCGACAAGGATAGTGATAAATAAAAGAGATTACAAAAATTCCCATTTTCTGCCAATCTCCGCGACATACTGTACAATTTTTCGGACTCTGGATTATCAGCACTTCAATCCTCAGTCAGAACGGTTACAATATTCCAACTTGAACAAGTTGACAATCTTAGTTTTGAGGCTTTCGCGGCCATGATTAATGAAATCTTTGGCTTCCGGATGGATGCCGCGTTTGGATTCAGCGTTGCGCCGACGTTTCGCAAACATTGCAGTCTACATCTTCAGGGCTATGAGTTCTGATTCTGAGCTCCGATGTCTAGGGGTAGTCCTTATATGCCTTCCCTTGTGGTGGTGGAGGAAGGGGAAGGGGGGGGGGGTTAGCCAATCATATGTTTTTAATTGATCAGCTGGTCCGGTGGGTCAGAAAAAAATTCCCCTCACCCCTTGGATCCTCCACAATCCTATTTGGGGTTTGAAGGGTCGGAAAAAAGCCCCCCCCCACTACTCGGATTCAATTTTATTCGATTTAGCGTCAGAAGGGTCGGAAAAAAAAATTCCCCCCCCCCATGCTTGGACTTCCCACAATGCGATTTAGGGTGAGAAGGGTCAAAAAATTCCCCCCCCGTGGACTTCCCGCAATGCAATTAAGGGTCAGAAGGGTCAGGGAAAATTACCCACCTCCCCTTGGACTTAGCACAATGTAATTGAGGGTCAGAAGGATCAGGAAAAATCCCCCCCCCTCGCACGCTTCGAAATTCGATTTAGGGTCAGAAGGGTCAAAAAAAATTCCCCCCGCCCCTGAGGACTCCCCGCAATGCGATTAAGGATCAGAAGGGTAAAAAAAAATTCCTCCTCCCCTCTCATCGCACCCTCAACTATCAGATTTAGGGTCAGATGGGTCAGAACAAAATTCCTCTCATACCTTGGATTCTCCACAATCTGATTTGGGGTCTGAAGGGTCAGAAAAAAAGCCCCCCCCCGCTCGGACCCTTCGCTGTTCAATTTAGGGTCAGAAGGGTCAAAAAAAAATTCCCCCCACGCTTGGACTTTCTACAATGCGATTAAGGGTCAGAGGGGTCAAAAAAATTACCCCATCGCACCCTCAGCTGTCCGATTAAGGGTCAGAAAGGTAAAAAAAAATTTCCCCCCGTCCCCGAGGACTTCGCTCAATGCGATTCAGGGTCAGAAAAATAATTCCTCTCACCACTCGCACCCTCATCAAAGAACCAAAAATTCGACCCCCCCCGTGCGTCCTCTGAGAATGACACATCAAACATCAATTGTTTGATTAATCATTAAAAAATTAATTAAAAAACCGACCGATGCTATCTTACTGTCGACTCATTCGGAAGGTGGCTGGCCTGCGACTGCTGCTGTGCTGCTGACTAGACCGACCTACTCGGCAATTCGGCGCTGCCGCCATCTCGCGAAATCCCCCCCATACGATGTTCTAGTGGCATTAAGTACACTAGCAGTAATTTCTTCAAATTCATCAAAAAAACTCAATTAATGAGTGATAACTGACACTAATCTTTTGATAATTAAGTTCCCAATCATTATTCCACTTTATTTCGATCATTTTCGCGCTTTTTATGCCCGAAAATGCACATCTACACACATCTACGGAACATCTACGCTATATCACAGATGCCAGATCGTCAGGGTATTTTTGAATGAACTTGAAACATTACATTTTAAAAAACCACCAGGAAGTTAACTTTCAGAAAAATTCATGGAAAATAATGATTAAAAACAGGGAAAATTGGAAATGTTCAACAATCATCATAAACTGTCAAATGAACTTGTTACCGTCTTGACAGCAAGACGTGTTCTCTGTATTGAGGTTCATTTGATTCGAATGGGACAATTGGACGACATCTGGCGATCTACAGTCTTTCTGCTATTATTACTCTGTGTTATCGAACTGTTTTTCGCGGTCGTTTGATATGTCTATTAGTTTTGGGGTTTGTCTGTCTCGAGACGTCGAGGCTGATTGGTGTCAAGTACAGTCCATTTATATTTGTTGTAAATATTGAAGTTGTTAAAAGACCTGAGCTATGAAAAAAGTGCTAATTAACGATTAGATGTGTATTATTCAAAGTGATCGATTTTGATAGTTAAGATGACAATTCTTTTATCCACCTGTGTTTTATTTGTGTTCACCCCTATCCGGTCTCAGCGACCTATCCAACGGTCTAATGAACATTTTTGGTCCTTCGAGCCGGATAGGGGTTAATATCAGTGGAGTGAAAAAACATTTGAGTCGCGGTTAACGGCTGATGTGCTGTGAAGAGTGCGACAGTGGCATAATTAAAACATCAACGGGTTTGGACTCCCGGGTGCTGGGCGTCGCTTGGTGGTTGGCGCTGGTGATTGGGGTCGGTGGTTGGCGTCTGTTGTAACAGGTTCCTGGCTATAAGGGTCTGGGAGGAGCTTGTAAGATTCATCTGGTGGGGCTCTGGGAGGCTGTTGGTGGAGCGTCGTGGGATTTGGCAACCAGTGGGTTCGTCTGTGGAATTCCATAGAGCAGCAGGGAGCCTGTGGTGGAGTTTGCTGCTGAGCGTTGCTGCTGTTGAGTCGGCGTCAGGCTTCGGCGTCGTGGTGCCGCCATTTTTGGGTTCGAGTTGGGCATCAGAGGGTCGGTCGTTCAGTTGACCAGCTTATCGGCGGAGATATTTGATCCTCGGTGATCGGTAAGTCAACTTTTTTCGTTCTTACCATCAGTCAACCCGAATTCTTACGGTTGGTAAATGAGACGCTTACCATCGGTGGAAGGGTGTTATTATCACAATAGCTGAGTTGTTTCTTTTTCACCATGACAACTTTTAATTCGATTGTTAACGAGCAGGCGGAACTTGCGGAGGCCATTGGGAAGGCTTGTGAGTCCTTGATGAAAGCTGAGGTGACATCTGCTAGACTGGACACCCGAGTGAGGGCCTTGACCGTGAAATGGAATAAATACTAGGACAACCATTCAACGATGTGGAGGCTGAAGTATAATGGGAAGTCTGATATCCGAGCAGCGCTCGAGAATCATTACTATTTTGCAAATAAACGTCATGAGGCTTGCTGAGGAGCTTTATCTAGTGGCTGTGGAGAAGATGCAGGAACAGAAGGAATTGCTGGATGCTGCTAAGGGAGGCGATGGTGAAAGGCACGATCAGTCAATTGCAGCTGCGGCGATGCCGGGTTCATTCGAGTCTGCATTAAAATTCCCGAAGTGGGATCTTCCTGATTTTGACGGTGGCCCATCGAAATGGATGAATTTTCGGGACTTGTACCTTACCATCATGTCGAACTATCCTCAGCTCACATCGGTTCAATGACTTTACCTGTTGAAGAGTCATCTGAAGGGGGATGCTGAAAAGAGAGTTCGGAATATCTCAATTCAGGGGGAGAGTTATCAACTGGTGTGGAACAGTCTCTTGGAGTATTATGATAATAAAAGAGCGCTGGTCAACAATGCTATAACGCTTCTTTTCAATGCTCCGGTAGTAGTGAAGGACTCTGTACCGTCGCTCGAGCGGTTATACACTGAAATTACACAGGCTCTGACGGCCCTTGAGGCGCTAAAGAGGCCGGTTGCGGAGTGGGACGATCTCTTGGTGTACATCATAGTCAAGAAACTGGACAGAGTTTCGATCATTGAATGGGAGAGGACTCTTGGGACCTCAGCTGAGTCACCTACTTGGAATCAGCTCAAGGGATTTTTGATGTCGAGAATTAGGGTAATGCACTCGGTTCAGGCTGACTACGCTGGAGATGGGACTGGTGCCTCGGCGACTTCCGCTGCGAATGTTGCTGGGAGAGCTCCAAAGGGTTCGAATGGAGCTAAGGTTCACCAGGTGAGTTCTCAGGGTTCTGGCTCGCAATGTTCACTTTGTAAAGGAGAGCATTCACTGGCGGGATGCCCACAGTACTTGGGTCTATCCATCAACCAGAGGTTGGAAAGGTTGAAACGCTTGAAGCTGTGTTTTAATTGTCTTGGGCATCATTTCAAGGAAAACTGTTCTTCCACGTCGAGCTGCCAGAAGTTTTCCAGCCGACATCATACTTCCATCCATTTAAAAAAATCGAGGACTGCAGGAGGAGGTAACGGTGAGACTCCTCAGGTGAATCCGCATCTATTGGCTAATGCTCCGGAGTTCGATTCTACCGCTAAGGCTCCTGGTGCTACATCTCATGCAGTGATGCACAAGCTGTCAGCTAGTACTTCTTCGGCACTTTTAGCAACGGCGATTGTGAACGTGAAATCTGGTGCTGGGGAGCTGATTGAGGGGCGTGCACTGATCGACCCATGCTCTCAGGTAACATTGACATCGGAATGGTTCGCGCAGAGACTTCGGCTTCCTCGTCATCTTTCTCGTTCTGTGACTGGAGTTGGTGGATCTGGTTCGGTCCCTTCTAAGGGGATGATTGTCATGGAGTTGCACTCTCGAGGAGGAAAGCTTGTGTACCAGGCTGAGGCAATTGTGCTGGCTGATCTGACTGATTACGTGCCAGTCGCTGAGGCTTTCGATCCATGGTCGATTCTGGATGGATTGCAGCTGGCAGACCCTGATTATAGCAATACGAGAGCCATCGATATCATTCTAGGTGTCGATGTCTACTCTCAGATCATTCAACCCGGTCTGAGGAGGGAGTTGTTGGATCAACCAATTGCACAACAAACATCTTTTGGTTGGATCCTCTCAGGGAAGAATCAGACTGAGGGGGTTTTGGAGCAGCTGATGTCAAGTTTTCATATCTCAGCTGACGATGAACTGCATAATCTAGTAAAAGGGTTCTGGATACAACAGGAGGAGTTCTTGGAAGTCCCTAACGAAACGGATTCCAGTGACGCTGAATGTGAGGAGTATTTTCGTTCAACTTGTACGAGGGATGAGACTGGTAGATATGTCGTCACGCTACCCTTCAAGTTTTCATCTGGTTTGCTGGGAAACTATCGTCATCTTGCCCTGAAGATGCTGCGTAGACTGGATGTGAGATTTGCTGGGAATCCTGGACTACGCGAGAAATATCAAGATTTCTTGAATGAATACGAAGAGTTGGGTCACATGTCTCGAGTGGATCCGGGAGGAGGTGAGTCTTCGGTGATTTATTATCTACCGCATCATCCGGTAGTGAGGGAGACTAGTCTGACCACCAAGCTCAGGGTGGTCTTCAACGGCTCAGCCAAGTCTTCTTCGAGGTATTCACTGAACGATTTGCTCCATGAGGGACCAAAGCTACAAGCAGAGATCTTCAACGTCATTACTCGGTGGCGAAAGCATCGTTTCGTGTACTCTGGGGATGTTACCAAGATGTTTCGTCAAATTTTGGTGCATCCAGCAGATCGAGACTTTCAAAGAATGCTTTGGAGGAATGAGGACGCAGAGCTAGTTGAGTACCAGCTGAACACCGTTACTTATGGGACTAGACCTGCTCCTTATTTCGCTATCAGGACTCTGAGGCAGCTAGCTGAGGACGAAGGCGATGAGAATCCGGAGGCAAGAGAAATCATCATGAAAACTACGTACATGGATGATGTCTACGGTGGTTCCAGTTCGGAGGAGGAGTGTAAGCGGCAGATTACTGAGGTAAATAGGGTTTTTGCTTCAGGAGGGATGCTGCTGCAGAAATGGACGTCTAATAAGCTGAAGTTGCTGCGAGACATTGCTTGTTCGGTGAACGAGTCTGCTACCCATCTGATTGATGATCAGGAGTGTCATAGGGCTCTTGGTCTTAACTGGGATTCAACTCATGATATTTTCTTTTTCTCTCTGAAGGTGAGCCATTTAGAATAAAGCTATCATAATCATCTTTTAACGTCGAATTGTTTGCTTTAAAACAAGTATTTTAAGCTATAATTGAATTCAAATGAAGCATGATGTCCAAAGGTATCCCCAAAATCCTGATTTTCAGAAATTACAGAATATTTGCAAACTTGCAAATATATAACGATTATTGATATCGTTTTCATCTTCGAACTCAGTCAAAAGCGTATCCAAACAAATTTTTTAAGCGACCATTCAATTAATTGAGGACATTTTTTTCTAGTTTTCATTAAAAAAAATATTTGAAAAAATTCAAAAATTTTTAAAAGCAATAAATGAATTAAATTTTCATTAATGGCGATTGATAGGGCTCAACAATACCTACATTGGAGGAAAAAAAAAGATTCAATGCAATCGATTCATTAGCGAGGAATCGAAGAAAAATTTGTTTACATACGTACACATATACCCTGGCGATCTGGCATCTACCGTATAGCGTAGATGTCCCGTAGATGTGTGTAGATGTGCATTTTTAGGCCTAAAAAGCATGAAAATGATCGAAATAAAGTGGAATAATGGTTGGGAAGTTGGCGATCTGGCATCTACGGTATAGCGTAGATGTCCCGTAGATGTGTGTAGATGTGCATTTTTAGGCCTAAAAAGCATGAAAATGATCGAAATAAAGTGGAATAATGGTTGGGAAGTTGGCGATCTGGCATCTACGGTATAGCGTAGATGTCCCGTAGATGTGTGTAGATGTGCATTTTTAGGCCTCAAAAGCATGAAAATGATCGAAATAAAGTGGAATAATGATTGGGAAGTTGATTATCAGAAGATCAGTGTCAGTTATCACTCATTAGTTGAGTTTTTTCGATGAATTTGAAGAAATTACTGCTAGTGTACTTAATGCCACTAGAACGTCGTGTGGGGGGGATTCCGCGAGATGGCGGCAGCGCCGAAGTACCGAGTAGGTCGGTCAAGTCAGCAGCACAGCAGCAGTCGCAGGCCAGCCGCCTGCCGAATGAGTCGACAGTGGGATAGCATCGGCCGGTTTTTAAATTAATTTTTTAATGATTAATCAAACAATTGATTGTTGATGTGTCATTCTCAGAGGACGCAGGGGGGGGGGTCGAATTTTCGGTCCTTTGATGCGGGTGCGAGGAGTGAGGGGAATCTTTTTTCTGCCCCTTAATCGCATCGGGCAAGTCCTCGGGGGCGGGGGAGAATTTTTTTTTACCTTTCTGACCCTAAATCGAATTGCTAAGCGTGCGAGGGGGGGGATTTTTACTGATCCTTCTGACTCTCAATTAAATTGCGGTAAGTCCAAGGGGGGGGGGTAATTTTCCCTGACCCTTCTGACCATTAATTGCAGTGCAGGAAGTCGACGGAGGGGGGGGGGGGGGGGGGAATTTTTTTGACCCTTCTCACCCTAAATCGCATTGTGGGAAGTCCAAGCGTGTGGGGAAATTTTTTTCCCGACCCTCCTGACCCTAAATCCAATAGCAAAGAAGCCGAGTGGGTGTGGGGGGCTTTTTTTTCTGACCCTTGAGACCCCAAATCGGATTTTGGAGGATCCAAGTGGTGAGGGGAATTTTTTTCTGACCCACTTGACCCTAAATCGGATAGTTGCTGGTACGATGAGGCAGGAGGAGGGATTTTTTTTACCCGTCCGACCGTTAATCGCATTGTGGGAAGTTGAAGTGTGGGGGAAAATTTTTTTTTGACTCTTGTGGGTGGATTGGGAGGTTTCTGACCATTCATACCTCACATCGGATCATGGAAGATCCAAGGGGAATTTTTTTCTGACACTTCTGACCTTAAATCGGATAGTTGTGGTTGCGGGGGCGGGGCGGGAAGAGGGGGGAATTTTGGGTTCTTTGTTGAGGATGCAAGGGGGGGGATTTTTTCCGGTCCCTTGTGACTTTTAATCGCATTGCGAGAAGTCCAAGGGGGAGCGGGGGGAATTTTTCCTGACCCTCCTGACCCTAAATCGGATTCTTGAGTGATGGGTCCGCGGTGGGGGGGTGGAGTTTCTGACCCTTTAGACCTTACATCGAATTGTAGAAGATCTAAGGGGAATTTTTTTCTGACCCTTCTGACCCTAAATCGGATAGTTGTTGGTGCGATGGGCGGGGAGGAGGCGGGGGTGTAGGAATCGAGATTGTTGAGGGATGTAACGATTCACTAACAAATGCGATAGTTATAAAACAATCACAGTATATTTACAAGACGTAGACTATATATAAAAAGTGAAAATAGATAATGTAAGGAGTAGGTGTTCACTCCTGAGTATTCGGCGGTCGGTGCCAGACTGAATATAATATTCGCAAAAGGCATGAATTCGGATACGAATACAATAGGCGCGAGTGAGAAGTATACATTAGACGGTTGAGTGACAGATAGCGATGATGTCACTGATGTCCAGTCGTCTCAACTGCACGCGTTGTTGTGTTCGCGTATTGACACGTGAGTGTGGATGTAGCGTGGCACTACAGGGGGAAGGGGGGTAGGGGGAATTCTTTGTTGAGGAGTGAGCCTTAACTGCATTGCACGAAGTCCAAGGGGGGGGGGGGGGTATTTTTTTCCGACCCTTCGGACTCTAAATCAAATTGCAAAGGTCCGAGGTGCGGGGGCCTTTTTTCCCCGACCCTTCAGACCCCAAATCGGATTTCGGCGGATCCGAAGGGTGGGTGGATTTTTTTCTGATCCTTGTGACCCTCAATCGTATAGCTGAGTGTGCGACGTTGGGGAGGGGGAAATTTCGGATTCTTTGTTGAGGATGCAAGGGGGAAAGGATTTTTCCTGTTCTGTCACCCTTAATCTCATTGTGAGATGTCCAAAGGGGGGGATTTTTCCTGACCCTTCTGAATCTTAATCGCATTCTAGGCGATCCAAGGGGGGGTGAATTTTTTTTTCTGACCGTTCTGGCCGAAAATTTAATTGCAAAGGGTCCGAGGGGGGGGAGGGTTCTGACCCTCCAGACCCCACATCGGATTGTGGAAGATCCAAGGGGAGGGAATTTTTTTTCTGATCCTTCTGACCCTAAATCGGATAGTTGATGGTGCGTTGGGCGGGTGGGGGGAATTTTGGATTCTTTGTTGAGGATGCAAAGGGGAGGGGATTTTTTCCTGACCCTTGTCACCCTTAATCGCATTATAGGATGTCCAAGAGGGGGGGGGGGGGAATTTTACCTGACCCTTCTGACCCTAAATCGAATTGCGAAGCGTGTGAGGGGGTGGGGAATTTGTCCTGACACTTCTAATCTTCAATCACATTGTTAGGTGTCGAAGGGGTGTGGCGGGAATTTTTCCTGACATATCCTAAATCGGGTTGTTGATGGTGCGATGGGGGGTTTTTTATGACCCTTCTGATCCTTAATCGCATTGTGGGAAGTCGAAGGGGGGGGCCTTTCTTTTTGACCTTTCTGACCCTAAATCAAATTGCGAAGGTCCAAGGGCTGGTGGAAATTTTTTCCTGACCCTTCTGATCCTTAACCAAATTGGGAATGGTGAGGGGAAGGAGGTATTTTTTCTGATCCTTCTTACCCTTAATCGCATTGTGGGAAGTTCAAGGAGGTTGGGGCAATCTTTCCTATCCGTTCTGACCTTAAATCGAATTGGAAATGGTGCGAGGGGGGAGGGATTTTTTTTCTGACCCTTCTGACTCTAAATCGAATTGTGAAAGATGCGAGAGGGGGCGTCAATTTTTCCTCACCTTTAATCGAATTGTTGCGATTGCGAGGGATGAGATTTTTTAGGGGCGGGCATTTTTTTCGGACCTTTCTGACCCTAAATCAGATTGCGAAGTGTGCGCGCGAGGAGAATTTTTCCTGACCCTTCACGAACGGTGCAGAGGGGGGGCGGGGTCAATTTTTCCCGGACTCTTCTGACCCCAAATCGGATTGTGGTGGGCGCGAGAAACGGGGGGTGGGGTGAATTTTTGTTTTTTTGTCAACGCTGCAATGGGGTTGGTGAGGTATTTTTCCTGACCCTTCTGACCTTTAATCGCATTGTGGGCAGTCCGAGGGGGTGTGGGAATTTTTTCTCACCTTTCTGACCCTACATCGGATTGTTGAAAGTACGATGGGGGGCGGATTTTTTCTGACCTTTCTGACCCTTCTGATTCATTTTGGAATTAGGTGCATGGCCGTACGGAGTGGAGGGGGGAGAGAATGTCGAAAACACTGAGCTTTCTGACCCTAACCGTTCACTTTGAAAATTGGGTGTTTACTTCAGGAAGGCGTAGAGTGGGTTCAGCTCTCCATATCTTGAAAATTACTGACCCTATTACCCCTCATGCAGCTTGTGAGAAAAAAATATGAAGGAATCAAGTGCGAGTGCAAGATTTTTCACCTGATGGCTCGCCTTGAAAATTAGATGCTCGGTTGTACGGGAGGGGGTGGGGGGGAGGGGTGGTGTTGCGCCTCAAAAACCATCGATTTCTGGGACTTTACCTGTCCATTTTCGAAATTGGGTGTGTGGCAGAAATCGGTGAGGGGAGGATTGGCGACGAAAGTCACGCAAGGAAGAACGCGGGCGAAACATGTAACGAGCTGTAGAGCGCTGTATTATAAACTGAGCGAAATTCGTTCAGGTGTAAATCCCATTCACGATGATCTTTTTCTACGAAACAAATCATCATCGTTTTCAACACGCGATTTACGCGTTCAACGGGATTGGCTTGAGCGTGGTTCGGTGGTGTTGTTGTATGGCGGATATCAAAGGATTTCGCCATTTTCTGCATCAATTTATTCTTAAATTCCGTACCATTATCCTTAAGGATCACGCGAGGTGTCCCCCAGCGAAAAATTATTAAATTCTCAAATTCGGCGATGATGGATTTACCATTCGCCTTTTTTAATGGTGCCACCTCCACCCACTTAGTAAACCAATTCTGAAAAACCAATAGGTAAAAATAACCCGATTTGCTCGGTGGAAATGGACCCATGATATCCGCGGCAAACACTGTCCACGGTTCATGAAAAACGCGCTGTCCCATCAACCCGGCGAGTT